AAGAAGGTCTTGGACCTGGTAAATAGGGAAAACAAGACAGTACTAATTTACCTTGTGTATGCAATCATTCAGGCAAAACATGAATATAATACAGAACATCTCTATTCATGTACCAGCATTCACACTGCCAAATTAACAAAATTACTTCAGACAGAGAGTATTAAACCCACCCACACACACACACACACACACACACACACACACACACACACACAAAACAACACCTTAGTGTCTAAAAATAGCATCCATTTCGAGCCTTCTAAGGTGGCCATGTCCGGGACTCTGTGGGTTGCCTGGTGCAACAGAAAGACTCTTTTAAAAAGGAGGAAATATTAAAGAGGGTACACACAAAATAGCCTAGAGAGAGGGAGAGTGGGAGAGAGGGAGAGAGACAAAGATGCCCTGCAGTAGCTTGTGTTCCCCCCTCTGTAGCTTTTTTAGTGGCTGTGACTATTTCAAGTCACTTCAGCCTCCTGGGCATGTGATGGCGGAGCTGTGAGGCAACTGGGCTCTATGGACCAGATACAGACTAACCTCCATTTACACACAGTTAGTCATCAAACCACAGTAACCAATAGATTCATATCAGAAATGATACAGTATATGCAAGATGTTATAGGTTTAGTAAAGAGGAGAGGTTTTGAGAGGGCGTTGACTGTCAGTGTGTATGACAGATGATACCAAAGGCTGGTATTTCTGCATATGCATATATGTGTATTGTATGTATGACCGCATGCCTTATCAGCCAGTGCAGACTCCGGAGGGTTCAGACTATAGCAGGGTTTTGTTATTCTGTGGGCACCACCACAGAATAACAATGAGGGAGGAAGACACAGGAAACACCACGTATTGAGTGGGTGTTAGGGCATCAAGCCACACAGACGTGAGGACGTGCAAGACATGAGCCAATTCACATACATTCATTCACTGGAGAACTATACCTAACCTTAACTAGTTACTGTGTGACTTAATCCAACACTTCAACTCTGCATAATTCCAACGTCACCCAAAAAACAGTTCTAAAATAAATATTTAGCTTTTGGGTATTGGTATTTGGCATTCAGATAGGTGAAGAAAGCTTAGCAAGGGAAAAATGCTAGCTTTCTACGATCATGTTTAAAAAAATTCACATAAAGCTGCCTTATTTAAAACACATTGTGTAAGTATGATTAGAAATCATTTGCTAATTTTTCCTCTGTTGATTTTTCAGCATGCACTGGAGCCCGAACATCAGTTATGCACGACGTAAAAAGTAGTAGTTTAGCATTAAAATACACTTAAAGTACCAAAAGTAAAAGTATGCATTGTGCTGAAAGGCCCCTTTCAAAATAATATATATTAGATTATAATTATCTATGCATTAGATGTGTGTTCATCACTTTAATGTTGCAACTGGCAAAGGTGGAGATTATTCTAATTACCTTATATACTGCTGGGTCGTTAAATCAATAATAATACATCATCATTTATTAGTTGATTTATATTTTGTATGCTAACCAGCTGCTGACAGTAGCTTCATATTTATCGTTGCCAAAGAAAGAAAATAGGTATATTTCACAAAATGTCAAGCCTTTAAATAAAAAAAGCTTTTGGCATACTTGGTTAAAATCCTGTCTTTGAGGTTAAACAAGTCCTTGAGATGAATGCGATGTCAGTCTTCTAACCTGACAGAGGAAATCTTATTATTCCTTTACAACATTCAACGACTACGATCCTTCTTTTTTTCCAGCCTTTCAGTGTTTAATAATTAAATCCAGGGAGCACATTTGTTATATTGGATCTTAAGCTGGTGGTGAACCAAAGATTGTCATAAAGCTTCAGAATGCTCTCAATATTCCATAGAATTTGGTAAGAAAGGTGAGATTTAGTCAGTTCTCCTTTGTGAAGATGATACACGATACTTTAATTTGTGCTTGTTAGCAAAGGGGTGCCTCTCCCATTTCACGTAAGGCTTCGCCGACGAGCACATTCATTACTGATAAGGGCAACATGACATGGAACTGAACTACAGTACCATCGCTGAGCAGCACTAGACACACACATCTACAGTACAGACTTTCCCTACATCAAAAGGAGCGACAGTGAGAAAGGCATAGGGATAGCACCACTGAGGGAGAGTCTGACACAGAGGAAACACTGCTTAAGAGGAGGATAAGCACCAAAAAAACACTGGTATTAAGTGTGTCTCCCTTAGGCCTTATGATGATTAAAGGATACAGAGAACGAGGACATAAAAGAGGAAGGATGGAAGGAAAAAAAGAAAGAAAGAACCCATGAAGGCGAGTGCTTTTCCTTCTGGGGTGGCTATTTCCACGCCTCATATTGATAAGGATCACGCACAGATACTCGAGTCAAGGATCAAGCCTCGATAGAAAATGACACGTACGCTTTGCATGCCTAACCTTTAGTGTTTTAATTGGAAGACACATAGAACTTTAGCTAAATAGATCCCCAAAAAGCTTCATGTTCACACTCATATTGTGGTGATGAATCAATCAAGCAACACACCTAGATTATGCAAGCTCACACCAGCCTGCCCAGTCTCAGTCATACCCAACTTGGAAGTGCAACAGTCTTGCAAATAAAACATACTGCTCAGTGCCCACACACACACACACACACACACACACACACACACACACACACTCTGACCCACTCACATGCGTCAGCAAGTGAACCCCTACTGACAGCAGACATTATGGCAGCGAACGACACAGAAGCGAGGCACAGTGCGTAAGGAGATGACTCAACCGAGGTGTTGTGAATGTCTGCATGTCTCCCATAGTAATTCTCCAGAACTCGTTCTATTCTAGTTCAGCGAACCCTTTATTAATATGAGTAATTCTTAAATTGTATGTAGTTCGAGATGAGTCCAAGATGATTCATCCTTCTTGTACCAATATCATTCTTAAAAACAAGACTGAGCTGACATTCTGGCTTTAAGACAAGATGGTGTTGAAGGATCTATATCCAATTAGAGCATCAGTGGCTTGGATGCCCATTTCTCCAGCATAATTACATTTTTCCCCATGCTTGGCCTCAATTAAGTGATTGTGCACTTCAGCTCCTCATTATCCCTGCAAGCATGTGAAATTAGGAGCTGAAGAAAAGGACAAGAATCCGAAAAATGAAAATAACTTGAGTCTTTATTAGTGCTGTCACGACTGTAAACAAATGGCGGCCATCTTGTTTTGAAATGGTGCTGAAGTGGCGGTGCAGGGGACAATTTAATAATATGTAGAACATTCATTGCTGTATTTCACAGTGATCAGATAATAAATACTCACACCAATAACCGATAACGCAACTACAATAGAGACATGGGTCATTCTAACTTTTCAATTTGCAGGATACATGCTATACTGGCATGTCAAACAGTACGGTAAATATAAAGCTTCAACAGCCGGTTAGCTTAGCTTAGCACTAAAACTGGAAACGGGCAGAAACACTGAGCCTGGCTCAGTCCAAAGATAACAACATCAGCCAACCAGCACCTCTAAAGCACACTAAATAACACGCTCTTTGTTTGTACAAAAACATAAGTGTAGAAAAACACAATTCACTGTTTTAAGGGTTATGTCCGACACTCCAGAAAGTTAGTGCTCTGAGACAATGAAATACCCTCTTTTCAGTCTTGAAGCTAAGCTAAGGTAACAAGCGTCTGTCTGTAGCCTTAATGGACAGACATAAGAGATCAGTATCGATCTTCTCATCTATCTCTCTGTGAGGAAAGGAATAAGCATATTTCCTAAAATATCAAATGAGTCCTTTGATCCGTCGGCACTGTACTGACTTACAAAATGTGTTTATTCTTACATTTTTTAAGAATGTCATATCTCAGTAATACTTATAGAAAGAAAATGAGTAGAAGTATATATTTCTCAGAAGTCCACATGATTTTACCCATATCTGTTCTTTAACAAATCAAAGTTGATTTCCCATTAGACATTGATACGGTGGAGTCCACTCCAAGCTTAGTTCAATTCGCTGTTCCGGAAGACTCCAGAAATACACAGCAGATTACTAAAGGAAGGCACACTTGAACCTCCGGCTAACAAAGTAGCTGACACGTGATAGGATAGAGCTGCTGCTGGACAAACACGTGATTGTGCCCTGACTCGCATGACCATGTCAAGAGGATTAAGAGTGGCATGTAGACAACTAAGATATATTGTATGAAATAATAAATAACAACTGAAAACACGTTTTGGCCTCGATTCCCATAATGTTCTGATCCTACACCACGGAGTACCTTCTGCTCTGTGGAACTCAACGCAGTCTTGTGAAGTTGCATCCATACGAGACAAAACACTACGGTAACACCAGCAAACCGGTCCCCACACCTCCGGAGATAAGCAGGCCAAAAGTGTTTGGTTTCCACGTCGTTATTAAGCTGAGACGATGAACGGACACAATCTCATATCCACAAACACGCACAAGCGAACGATCAAGCATCACACAAATCACTCAAGCGTGCATTAGATTTCGATACAAAAGACCAGTTGATAAGAAATTTGTGCATTCAGCCAAACAAGAATACACACATGCAGACATGGTCACATATATACACCGTACACACACATGCTGGGTATTCAGTTTCAGAGTCAAGTGTCCTCTTTGACGTCCATTGAAACAACCTAAATTATCTCTCTGGCCCACCTCTCCACTAACGAAAGCTTGATAGTAATGAGACTGCCATTTTAAAATGCAGTATAAGTGACCACATCCACTTATTCAGTGGTGAAATGTGTGCAGATGTTGTTACAGTCTATTTGGGGTAAACTAATGAACTTATTACAACTAATAACATGCTGTCCTCTTTTCAGAGTGCTTTGCAAGATGCTAGTGGGGAAAAACACAGAGCTGAAAACTCCTGATGTTATCTTTACAGTGACCTATTTCAATGAGGATTTTGGCGTTCTATTTATACAAGACGGATTGCATAAATTACTGGTAGGAGTACAACAATCTGTGGTGTTTAAGAAAACTGTAGTTCTTACCTCTCCAAAATGGGGAGTAGGATTAAATCCACAAAGATTGCAAACTGTCTTCTTGCACTTGGTGCACAAGCAGTAGTTGGGCGTGTCTGCTGATCCAACGTTCAGCTCCACATTACAGAGGGGGCAGCTTCCCTTTGCTGTTGAGGCTGGGGCAGGGGCAGGTGCAGGTGCTGGTTTGGCTGCTGTCGTCTTCTCTTCCTGCTCCACAGAAATGGTTCTGGGGGGTTTCTTGGACTTAGCAGGTGGGGTGTCAGGAGCAGAGTCCGAATCAGGAGGAGACCCAGGAGCAGAGAATGGGGACTCAGGTGGTGAGCCGGGGCCAGAATCCAGAGGGGAACCTGGTTCCGAGTCTGGCGGCGACCCAGGTGGAGAAACCGCTGCCTTCTCGACCTCTCCAGAGACAAGATTGGTGGCTGAACTCAAGAACGACGATCCAAAGCTGAACATCTGAGAAGCAGCAGCGGGAGGTTTTGCTGATTCTGTCAACCCTCCAAAACCTCCAAACAACTTCCCAGCCACTGACTCCTCCTGCTTTGGGGCGGCCTGCGCTTGAGGCTTCGACGATTCCATCAAGCCACCAAACCCACCAAACAGTTTCCCTGTTACGGACTCGGCAGCTTGTGAAGCAGACGCAGGAGGTTTGGTGTCTGTTAAGCCTCCCAGACTGATACCTCCCAAGCTCCCAAAAAAGCTGGACTCCTGTTTGGCTTTAGCTGGAGACTGCTGTGGACTGGACTTTGGCTGGATGGGTCTGCCTGTCTTGGGGTCAATCTTGGGGGATCCCCCCAATGAGGAGCCGGGGGAAAGCGGTCCGGGAGAAGTAGGACCTGGGGATTTCTGCCTCGGTGTGGTTGGCGGCGTCAACCCTTGGTCGGTAGTACTCTGCTGCTTTATCAGCAGCTTGCCAGGCTTGCCAGGTGCCTGTCTGTGGGGCGAGGGCGGGGCCGAGCCTTGTTTGGGTTTTGTCATGCCAGGGGGATCCATACCTCCCATCGCTCGCTGCATCTGGCAGTTCAGACATAACCACTCTTTACCCTATGCATAAAACAAAAGATGGGTTAGATTTGACTGGAACACATTTCCACACTGTTCATCAATGGCATGTGTAATTATAGGATAAACACAGGCAAGCATAACCAATTAAATCCCTAAAATACCCGTTTTATTTTTGTTTAGCGTAAAATAAAGACAAATTCAGAGACTTGTCCACTAATTAGTGTTTCAAATGATGTTGAAGCCTGTTTTCTCTTGGCAAATTGTTTCTTTTAACATGAGAGAATTCAAACAGTAAATACTAATAAGGAAAAAAAAACATGTATGTATATTATTTGTTTGTTTTTTCTGCATAATTGTTTCAATTCAGCAATAACACAAAGTCTGTTAGCAGAAAGGCAAATACTACTCATGTATCATTTTCCTTCATTTATTAGAGGTACTGTACATGTTAGACCATTGTAAACAGTTGCATTGTATTGCCTTTGTTCTGACCATACAGCACATGATCCCAGAAAAGCCTGGCTACACCGCTGTGCTCTTTGTTACGCGCAAAGTGCATCTCAGTTTCCACTGTGTGCAAACCACAGTGTTTAGAAGGGCTAATGTTGACAATTTGATCACTATCGAGAACAGAACAATGTGTATATTGGTACTGTAACTGCAAATAGCATTTACTTTGTGGAGATATTATTCTGAATTCAAAATCGACAAATATCAGATTCCTGAAGTGATCGATCTGCTAAAGAAATAACCCCAACTTTGACATGTATCATTATAAATCTCGAGAAGAGGCTCGAGCAGAAGGAACCAGTCATACTGCTGTGCTGTAATCATGTGTGACCGAGTGTCGTCACAGGCTGGCACAGTATCTTCCTGTGGCCATGACATGAGTCACCATGATCAACATTCCCTGGGTCCATATGGTCCCTCTGTTCCTCAAATGCTGCCTCTCTTATGAGATGCAGTCCCTTTGCTTGGCTCTGAGAACAGCAATATGCTGCTAACAGGCTAGTGTGTCTTGGATTCAACAATACAGTACAATACATACGTGATCTTATTTTTTAAATCGTATTGTTTATTCATTTTAAACATGCAAATCTTCAATTATTTCCATTGTTTCCAATAGTTATGGTACAGTTTGACCCTTTTTGAGAATTTTCTCTCTCTATGTCACAAAGTAATTTCATGTTGATTTTTGCAGGAAAAACGACGTCTTAGTCTGAATATAGATTTAATAACCTTTTAGGATTACATTTTTGCAGAATAATGTGGATTGAGCAAAGAGAATTGATATTTCAAAAACACACAATTTAATAATGTGTGACCTTTCATACCCCTGACATCAATGACATGGTCTCTCTTGTGTATTATTAGATGAATGCCAGTATACCCAGCAGCTTATTGAAGAAATGAGAAAGATTTTTCTAACTTTGAAAAGAAAAAAAAAGAAGAAAAAAAACAATCACTTACCGCTGAGTCTGGGGGGCTGAATCCACAGAGGCTGCAGACCTGGTTCTTACACTCAGTGCAGTTATTGTAATTAGGTGGGTCCTTAGACCCAAGGTTCAGCTGGGTGGTCTTACACAGTGGACAGAGTCCACCTCCGGGCTTTCCAGCCCCCTGCTGACCAGGAGGACCTCCACTCTTTGCTGGTTCTCCAGGATGAGCCCCAGGGCCTGGTGGCCCTTGCTGTTTGGGTCCAGGCTTCCCAGGTCCTTGTTGAGGGGGTCCACCTTTTTGCTGACCTGGTGGTCCTTGACCTGGTTTGGGGCTCTGTTGCCCTGGGAGTCCCTGGCCTGGTTGACCCTGACCTTGCCTGGGGGCCTGCCCAGGGGGTACTTGGCCAGGAGCACCTTGGCCAGATTTGGGCCCCTGGCCTGGTTGTCCCTGTCCTTGCTTGGGGGCCTGCCCAGGGGGTCCTTGGCCAGGAGGACCCTGGCCTTGTGGACCCTGACCTTGCCTGGGTCCTTGCCCAGGGGGTCCTTGGCCAGGTGGACCCTGGCCTGGTGGTCCCTGACCTTGCCTGGGTCCTTGCCCAGGGGGTCCTTGGCCAGGAGGACCCTGGCCTTGTGGACCCTGACCTTGCCTGGGTCCTTGCCCAGGGGGTCCTTGGCCAGGAGGACCCTGGCCTGATTTGGGTCCCTGGCTTGGTGGTCCCTGACCTTGCCTGGGTCCCTGCCCAGGGGGTACTTGACCTGGCTTTGGCCCCTGTCCAGGAGGGCCCTGACCCTGTTTCGGAGGTCCTCCCTGTTGTGGTCCCTTTGGACCTGGCCCTTGCTGAGGGCCCTTGCCTGGTGGCTTTCCTCCTTGCTTGGAATCAGATGTTGTAGATACATCTCCCTCATCCTCATCCCCAAATAGTCCAAACTTTGGGATGTTGACAGTATCGCCCATGGAGGATATGGAGGAGGAGACAGAGGAGGTCATAGATGACACAGCACTGAGGGGGTTGGCCCCGCTGAGGAAGCTGGATCCAAACATGCCGGACGACTTGGTCTCTGGGTCTTTTGGCTCCTGCCGGAATCTGGATTCAAAAAGGCTGAGGGACGAGGGGCTGCGGCCCGGTGTGGGCTTGCTAGGTAGACCCTGGTTGAAGGCGTCTACAGTTCGACTCTTACTGAGACCTGTAGGGCCCCTGGAGGCCCCTACCTGCTGGGAATGCAGATGGGTATCAGATTCTGATGTTCTGAAAAACAGAAAAACAGAGACAGTTTTTGTTAGCACTGCTTTTATTGCTATTGTTGATTTGTGTTTTCTTTGGCAATGTGACAAAATTGTATAAGCCAAATCTAAACTAACTCAGCAGCAACAGCTGACCCAGCGCCAAAATAAAAACAGGCCCAACTTTTAATGAAATATACTTTAGCTCCTTTACCTCTTCCCTTCATTTGCCCCTATAATTTGTTTGATGGTGATCAAGCTCATGAAGACTACAACCTAAATCTCTCTTTCGGCTGAAATAGTATTATTAGATACTCAAACAAACATCACTCATGCTGTCTGAAATAAATTAACAAAGTATCAGTAATGTAGTATTTGTAATGCATGTACTATTTTACCATCTCAAAAAATATTGCTTAGGTTATTTACTAACTCATCTGCTTCTACTGAAGCTTCATTGTGCTAAGTTAAGGCCATAGAACTAGCCCTTTGTTAATATCGGGGCCTTTCAACACATCAGTGAACACAGAGTGTGTAGCTATAGCAGTCCTGGGGCGAAGCTGAAAGGAAAGTGACTACTGCTGAATGACATGGAGTGTGGATCATTGAGATAGAAAGGGAAATGCTCGCCTGCATGAGGGTAAGCTGAGACATCTTTGTTAGCTCAGACTGAGAGGCAACATACACAACCTACACACACCGCTATAGGCACAAGCGTGAAAGTCAACGGGATCCTTCGAGAAATGCATCAACGGACTAATGGGCTAAATGCTTTGTTATTGTATGATGCTGTGTGTATGCAACATACAGACCTAGTGGTTTCTTAGGCTGCTGTCTGAAAGTCCCTGGTGCTTCTGCCATTACGTCTGAGATAAATTACATTATGTGGCAATAAAGTTTAATGCTGTAATGAAAACAGCATTTGATTACGTTTTATAGTGAGCACTGAGTAATACAAGACTATGCATGGTAAGAGCCTGGAAAACGTTGTAAGCAGTAGTCGTGTTGCAATGTCCCCGCTATTGGCCCGTCCACTGCAGCGGGTTGCTTTTCAGCACCACGCACAGCAGCAGTGTGTTTCAGCACCATGGACAGCGACCAGACTCCAGGACCGATACCTCGACAGAATACTATGAAATCCGACAAAACTAAATCAGAAAGCAGCAGGAGGGAAGCCTGGACTGATGACATTAATGCTGCTGTTCTATTTATAGTCATATTAATATTAATGCACCCCCCCATCTCTAGCTCAGATATAAATAACATTTCTCCCCAATTGGAGCCAATTAGCGGTACCGCACATTATGTCACCTTATCAGATATCGAGGGATCTTTCACTATTATCTGAGTAACATTCACATCTGAAGCATAATGGAATTGGCATATATTGTTTTCATTGGCAGCTTTCTACCTCCCCCTCCACAACACAGCACATTTCCCACGCAACCGATTTAAATCCAACGAATGCGAAATCCTGAGGAGTAAGTAGAGAGTCTGATAGGCAATATTAGACACTGATTAACCATTCACCATTTCAGACTGATTTCACTAAAAGGAGATCTGTGCATCCGTGTAAAACAGGGTAGGCCTACACAACGAGACAATCAATTGATTAGTATTATTATTTTGGTATGCAGAGTATCAGATGTTAATGATAATCCATTCCGGTGAGCTCTAAGAATAGAATAATTTCTTGGCGCGGATGAAAGGCTCAAACATGGGCGTGAACGAGCTCGCTGCCTCCTTACGGCATCTTCCAAATGATGCTTCACACTACCACAACACATCCACTCGTTCTCTCTCACGTATCACAGCCGGGTTAGTGTGGATATTTTAAGTGCATAAAAAATAAAATGCTGGTGAATATAGCCCTGCCTTCGTGCAGCTGCTGCGCCTCCGGGCTGCCTGCCTTGCGCCCTTGACATCGCCGCGGCGAGCTGCCTCCGCTGCTCCTCGCTGAGTTCACTTAGGTTGACCGGAGTCCCATCGGGGACCCGGACGAAGCCGCCCTTCCCGTCAGGTGCCAGACCCTCTGGTAGCCCAGACGGCGGCCCTTCGCCTCCTTCCAGGCTCGCTTCGTTCCCCATGATCGACCCCTCCCGTCCCTGTATTCGGATTAATGTAGGATCCGAGCCGTCTCCGCGTTTTTATGTCCAAAGCGCGCAGCGAACACGGTGTCCCTCGGTGTCTCGAAGCATCTCAGATGGTTTATTTTCAGCGGTTATTGTCCTTCCATGTGCTGTCCCTCCATTTCCCTCGTTTCTCCTTGTTTTTCTGTGTCGCGCATCTCTGCAGCTGTACGTACACCACAGTCACCACAGTTTTCCGTGAGGGGGGTCTCCGTCTTACTATTGCTCACAGTCACAGAAGGTGGTTTCCGGTAGGTTTTACAAAATAAAATAATTTTATTAGATGGCATTAATGTAATTTTTCAGTTTAAAGACTTTGGAAAAAAATAACTACATAATATATAACCTACAATTAACAGACACAATGAAGACAGTGATGCTTGCATACACAGTATAGCCTACTACTACACAATGAATAGGTATGTAGGTCGTATATACCAGATGAGCTGAACACAATTCAAAGCTTCACTGAAAAAAAATCAGCTCGAGTTTTGCGCCACCATTCTAGCACTTCATTCATTAAAACCTCTAATATAACATTTTGAGGCCTTTATATTGAAACCAAACTTGTAGTACTTCCGTTCCGTTCTCTGTAGCGCACATCCTCACGACTCTTCTGCTCACCGCGCATGTTCCGCCTGTGACAGGTGATCAGAAGCCATCAGCGGAGGAAAATATGTTTTTAAAGGGGACTTCCTGAGCTAAATGTGTCTGGTTTGATTGTCTAAATAATAGAGGCTGATGGGAACATAAAGGACAGGTTGGAACACTGAAGCTTTTCTTTTTTTCTGGTCGTTTATTAAGGCTTTAAAGTAGAAAGAAGAGAGTTGTGTATATTGTTTGTAGGTCAAGTATGTGGGGCTCAAGCGAAAGGCGTATGTATGAGCACACACCCCACCTCTCCACATACAAAGTTTCAGTATTGGGATATCACAGGATGAGAAATTATAATAAATAATATGTGCATTTTTATCCATCCTGACCAGCCATTCAGATCTCAGAGCAACAAAAACCGTTAGAGCAATCTCATTCAAAATGTCATACATCTAATTTTAGGGGAAATTGCCATGAAATATTCAAATACACAGATAAAACATCTGCGAAGGTCTTCAGATGACTCACAGCATGAATACTATCTCTGCTTTGTTCTTTTTTTCCAGTTGGCAGCTGTAGGATGTCTCATTTTATATCTAAACCCTTTATATTCTCAAATATGTTAATGTGCAACTGAAGGCTGGCAGAAGCATGTGCGGAAATCAATTTGGCTATAAATTACAAGGAACTCTTTATATCTTGTCTGTTGTTGTTCTCATGGAGAACCCTGCATGTAATCCAATGAGTGTAATTATAAAAGATCACCAATGAATAGACAACACAGAGGCTGCAGTATGTTGCATTACCAATATGTGTACATCAAAACAAAATGGTATACAGTGCAAATGTCTTAGATCAGCCCACATGCTGAAAATGACAGCAGAACAAACCTACAGTATACTGTATATATTAGTGCCACTGTACTCAGAATATGCACAAGCAGTCACCAGATCCAGCGAGGAGGATATTAAAATACGTCGCCTCTGCTGTACATCAAGCTGATGTGCTGCAATCTGACAGCGAGTGCTCATTTGCTCTGTTGTCTGTGGAGCTCTGGGGCAGATGTGTCCTCTATGCACCCAGCTCAGAGCCCTCGGTACCTGGGCACGGGTGGAGAGGAAGACCGGGGGACTAGTCTGTATCTCAGCCAAAGTTCAATATTTATTTGTTTCCGTCCTTTTTTTCCCCTTTCAACATTAAAAACATCTGGATAAAAGCATCAAAGACTATGTGACACAACAGATCATCATTTAAACCGACGACAGCTCCAGCAAGTGGGACAAATTTATTTGATTTTGTGTGTAGTGACTCTACCCATTTGATTTGACTAAAAAATGATAACACAAATAGCTCAATTGGAATCATTAGGGGAATGCACATCAAGTGTGAAGAAAAGCTCTATACAAGTGCAGTCCATTTACCATTCCAGTCTTTATGCTAAGCTAAGCTAACCGTCGTCTGGCTCTGCAGTGACTTCTTCCAGACATCTTTTCATCCATCTCTCAGCAGGGAAGAAATATATCTCTCAAAGGTTCAAATTGTCCCTTTACAGTAGAGGTGGTAACATGGTCATGTGAATACGATGTTGACCTTGTTGCGGCCACATGGTTCAAATTCCAGCTTCACTATTTTCTTTCATGCTGTGCTTTATTTCCCTCAGCTATCATATCGCTTTTCTTTAAACTGCACATTTAGAATCATATTTTCTTGATCCCTGTCCTCCTTATTCTCCTCCTCGCCTCAGTGTCTGTGTGTAGGCAGAGGTGAGTCTTGGTTTCTGTCTTCAGTGATATACAATGGTGGTGGAGCGATGGCTCTGCTCCTCCCCTTCTTCCCGCTGATCGCTGAAGCATGGTCTGATTGTCTCTACGCTGTGAGGCGGAAGCAGCCCGTACATGCATGCTCGCTCTCTCTCTCCCTCTGTATCTCACCCACACATTCACATAAACACACTGACTGAAGCATCCAGCCGTGCAAAGCAAACGCTATTCACCCGGACAGACAGACGGACACATACACACAGGTGTAAACACACAACATCAAACACAGGCCTTGGGACAAGCACTCTCTGAGGCATGTGCAAACCCTGCAGTTTATACAGACACACACACACACACACACACACACACACACACACCTGCATACAGTGTACACAGAGTAGACTCACTAGTACAATGCTATCAGGGCCCTTTAAGCATATTTCTGTTTTAGAGCAAACAACCCAATGAATTTGTATCCGTTATTGAAACATATACCAGTGACCGAAGAAGTACTCAGATCCCAGATAAAAAAAGTACTAATTTTCAGCATATCATTTTTTTATGCAAAATCTTTATGTAAAATGTAACAAGTACAATGTTTCCTTCTGAAATGTAGTTTAAAAGAAGTATACTAAGTACAAATACCTTAAAACTGCACATAAGTACAGTAGTTATACTTCCCACCTCTGAATGTATATTTGACATATACAGCCTATGTGAGCTGTATTTGTGCCGTGTAGCCTGGTCAATGTAACTTGAGGCTGGTAACCGGATATCACACACTGCACTGTGTTCATTAAATTTGAATACTCGGTTGGGGTACGAGGCAAAGACACTAACAAAGGCAATTTATTTTGCTGCTGCAGAGATCGGTGGCAGTTGAACTACTAAACAAAGTACTCATTTTTTCTTCCAAAATACAACAAGTTGCAGGTTTACCCCAAAACACCTATAATACCTTTTAGACATACATGTACCACAACGGCTCTTTCTCCCCTGTGAGAAGGTTAAGTTTCTGTCTCAAACAAGGTACTAGAACCTTCCCTAAAGAGCTTTAGCATCATAATCCCCTCTTCTATCCAGAATCAAGTGGTTACTTCTTCAAAAGACAAGCAAAAATTAGTGACATACCTTCACTTTAGTGTGTTCCAGGCAGGAGTTTGTATCCTCAAAGTCACTGTGTGAGGAGGTGAGGCTGTTTAATTTCTGGTACATCCGGACTGAGCCGTTCTCATCCCTATTACCAACCTGACACACCTAACACCGCCCCTCAATGCCAATTTCTCCTGACCAGCGAGACGCTGTGGACTAAAAATACCTTTAAAGTCATGGAGGCTCCCTTCCTTACCTCACTCGATCTTACTATCTGCATGCCTGCGCACAGGCGCACCTGCTGCCAACACACACACACACACACACAAGCTGTGACACAAAGACACACTCATGCACAGACATAAGAGGTCCCTCTAATCCTCTTTTCTTCTGAGCGATATAGGCCAATCACACACTGCTCTGCTCTGTTTTTTCTGAACACACAGTGATTAAGTCCTGCTGTAAAGTTAACTCACTGGCAATCAACTGAAACAACAACATAAAATACAAGAAGAAAAAGGTTTCCAAATCAATTATTCATCTGTTGCCAAACTAGATTTTACCCTCAGAATACTTTCTCTTGCAGCATCCACAAATGCCCCCAAAGGTGCACTGAGAAGCCCTAATCCACCATCTGTTGAGCCCAGGAAACACAAACAAATTCAGTGGATGACATTACAGGAAACATATATGTCTGCAGTACATCTTTCAGCCGTCTTTCTGTTTCACTGCATGTAGAGGCAGTTTACTTCCAGCTAGATTCTCTGTGAATAACTGTCCTCGCTCCCTGAAGACAAACAAAGGCATCTGATTCTGGTACTCAACACAATGCCAGCGTTGTACAAGTCACTTTTGTTTCATACAAATACACAACAGTACAAATACACAAGGCACCAGCATGCAAAGTCAAGAAGAAATATGTGCTTTGAACTGACGAAAAGCTTGAATTAATGCTCGTCTCTGAGATTTACTGACATGAAGTGTGTTGAATATCTGCAAAGATGTGCTGAACGCTAAATCACACATGACGTGCTTCTGTCTGGCGGCTCAACAGCTCTTCTGTTGCACATTGCCTCACCTGCCTCTCCTCGTCATGAGTGAGGTGAATCTAATAGAAAAGGTGTATGGAGTAACTAAGAGATCATAGTGTTCACTTCTCCTGTCAGTTTAAATCAATGTAAGGAAGTCATAAAAATGTACCTATCAAGGATAAAGATTATCATTTTCGGACAATGAAACAGATATGTAATTAGTGTCTGTAAGATTTCTTTTAAGGAGGTTGTTGTGGTCCGTGGGTGAAGGGCGTGGGAAGGAGACTTTAACTGGCAACTGTTAATAGGATTTATATGGTCACAGTCTGGAAGCCAATCTCCAAACGCCACCAGTCCAGTGGCTGATTGAAGCTATAATATTTGTTATACATCTAGAAGGTAGCCACAGTGACATCCCTGATTTAACTGTAGCAATTCTCAGTTTGTTCCAGGCACTCTTCTTCACACTGAGATCACTCAGATAGTGTGACAGTTCTCTGATGTCTTGTTCCTTGCAAGTTTTCATTCCCGCGAGTATACCAGACAACTTCTTTGTCTCTCCAACAGAGGCTGCCGGTGCTAATTAACAAGGTTTTTCCACAGTGTTTCACACAAAAGCTGCTGCCAGAAATGAAAACACATCGCCGTTGAAAGACACACCTAAAACCGGGGTTTATAAGAGCCAAAAAGCCTGCAAGAATGGACATTGCGCTTAAGATGCATCATGGTGTTATAGCTCACATCTGACTCATGCCCGTGTTATCCATGCAATTCATTTTCGTTGGACAAATGTGGGATTTGAGAGAAACATTTCAATGCTTGGCTCATCAGTATAATGGATTTGTGTTGTCTCCTCCTCTCCTCATCACCCACTCTTACTCCACATTCATTTTTCTAAGTGAATTGACAGCAGCTGACATCCTTACTAATGCTGCTCCGGGGTCTAATGGGCTGATTCATCAGAAGTGGAAGCGGACTAAGATGAGTTGTTCAGGAGAAAAAAAAATAAGATCGTTTTAGAAAGAAAAGGGTTGAGAGATAATGTCAAAGTAATGCGGTTTGAATGCCAATCAAGTCATAAACAACCACACAGCTCATGAATCATCAACAACACACACCTGTTGTCAAGGTAGTGAGTCATTGCCAGTGACTTCATCACTTGGCAACAGGGGGGTAAGTCCCTTGAGTTAAGCTGGACTAAACACAGATGAGTCACACTGACGGCAAAATGTGAGCACAGACAAACAAGACATGAAGCTAACGAAGGGTTTACATAAAATAGTCCAAGGCCAACTGTCTCTATAGGGCTTTGCAGTTTCCAAATGCTGCCTCAGCTTTAAATAAACCTTTTTTTCTTGACTTGTAACTAAAAAGTAACATTTTGACCAGAAAGCTTTGGCAGTCCATGGCGATTTACCAAGTCCTTGATCGTAACGCTGCAGCCTAGAGTGAATCAGCATTCTCTTCAGAGACGGACAAGAATAGGTCATTGATCACCGCATCAAGCTCAAGGAATCAGTGAGCGGAGAGGTCAAACTGGTGTGAGTCACTTTATATCCCTCCCTCTGCACACGAGCCTGCTGCACTGCTGTGTAAGGGTGTCTCTGTTTATGACTCCCAACCTTGTAGATCAGTGTTGAGGAGGCGGGATCACAGCCATAAATCATGGCTTCTTAACAACAGTCGAGGAAACAGCACTCCCAGAGGGCACGGTCTATGAAGTGAAACCCCAGGGAATATATGTGCAGAGACAAAGCGCTTGGTTATGTAATGAAAATTAGCTTTTATTTTAGTCAAAATAGATATACTTTGTAGGTCAGTTAATGTTATTTTAAAGGGACTGTATGTAAGTTATTGGTGTCGGCAGAGAGGTTGAACCTTGCGTTTCACTTTTGAAAAAAAAGGAAGATCCTCCACAGCATTAATAGGACTTATATTGATTTTATTCATTATCAATTTATCTAACGATTAGTTTCTCCATTTATCGGTTAATCCTTTGGTCCATCAAATGTAAGAAGTTTCCATTATGTTTACACGTATAACTTTCTAAACTATTTGACCCGTCAGGGGAAGGCAATAAACGAGAAGGCAAAGAGAGTTGCACCTGGGCATCACAGTTATGGCTCAGTGGGGTTCGGTCTTGACGAAAAATGTCATCGAGCACCAAGGAGAGCTGCTCTGAGCTGCTCTGTATCAGATCCCTCCCCAGTTGCCATGGTTTCTGCAGCAGCTGCCACTCACCAACAGTGTTCCTAATTATGGGATCACTTGAATATTAGTTCAATGCACATGCCAGTTCCCTGCGGTGCAGTGCAGCACACCTACAAAGCCTACAGCTGTAAGCTTTCACTTCATGTAGACGTTTGTGAACTTTATGTGTGTCATCGCTTTTTACAGCAGCTCAAAAGGAGAGAGAGAGAGAGATGAGCGAGATGAGCGAGATGAGCGAGAGATTACCAGGGAAACCAGGAAGTGAGAACAGATGGAGTGATGAGGATAGGGGTGTTGCGATATACCGGTAAATAATGAAATATTGATATCATAATACACATATGAATAATATCGAGGGGGAGGGGGCGAGCTTTGAGTTCAGCAACCTGCTGTGTCCTCCTCTCGGCTTGCCCACAGACTTGATTTCCCACAATCCATTGGGCTTGCTCCTGGGCAAGAAAGAATGAGTGAGCTTCTGAATAGAGCCTATTATCAAGAGCAGTGAGGAGCTTTAGATATACACACACACACACATATTGCAAGTGCACATACACACCGTCAAATAATGTTTAGCTGACGGCAACATGAAGATATGGTGGGTATCAATTGACCTCTTTTATCTACACACACACACACACACACACACATGCACACAAATGAAATAGTGGACTGGCATTTCCATCAAAATTCAATTGAATATGCGCTGAAGATGAAATGTAAATGCCAAATACCAGTTAGCGTTTTCATTTGATTTATAATTTTTAGGTAAAACATCATCCATCAAACTAAAAATGAAAAGTTGTTCTTCTGTGGTAATGACGGTGTTTCCAAAAATAACATTTTCTGGCCTTAAACTTTTCTTTCATAATTTTACGACAATATCTCAATTTTTTCCCCTTTAAGAAAGCTCAAATATGGCATCACACATTTCAGATTGGGATTGATAAGGGAAATTCAAAATCTAAATAAATACATTTGCTTTGGAAATTAATTAATTAATTAATTAATTTACCAATCCATATAATACAGCTTGCTATTATAATAATAATCATAATGCCATTGAAATGCTAAATGTGCATGTATCCTACGGCAGCTAAGTTGTTGTTGAGAGTCTGTAAAATAAATAAAATGTAGCTGTGAGGAGCAGAAGAAGAGGAAACGCTTTAGACAGGGAAGAAGCTCCCTAAAGCAAAGGACGCAGTAATAAAACCCTCCAATATAATGTTCCAGACAACTCCTTTCTACAGCTGAAAAATGTGTATTAAGACTGAGATAGACACGCACACACACACACACGCACACACAGGACATTCAAGGACAGTCGCTATGGTAACAGGGCCAGCAAATTCATAACAGGTGTGTGAATCTTGAGGGCAGTGGATGTGATTGCAGCACTCTAATCACTTCAGCTGACATGCATGTGCACGCACAGTTTCTGAGAAAGGGTAATTGTGGCCGACTGCGAAAGGAAGACATTTCTGTAGAAATATTACACGTGAAGATGTTTATGCTTCCACTTCCTTACCACAAGAGTCTGATGGGCTGTGACAGACATGGCTGCACGGGCAGTTAGACAACAGTGACCTCTGGTGGTTCCTCATGAGAACCATCATTGTGTCTGCAGGCCACAGTCCCCTTTATTGCTTGAGTTTACAGGCCTTTGTAATGGAAGACATTTTGATTGACTTTCAGGGTGCTGGTAGTGTGCATGCTGGCTCACTGTCGTGGCTTACTGGGACAGAACAGAGCCAGTGTTAATTTATTAGCAGCCAAACACCTGTGCAAAGCCAAAATGTCTGTTGTCTGCCGTGAAAAACTGTAAACTACCTTGAATAATAACTGCAGGTTAAAGAAAGGTATCCGTAGAGCACAACAGCAGGTGAGTGTATACTTAAAAGCTTTATTTTTTTTGTAATTAGTGAAGTGTGCCTGTTTTCTTCGCTAGCTGTAAAATGTTGGTTCCTTTCAATTACAGACAATAACGACGACAACAAATCTCACTTACCTCTAGCCGTGCAGATAGTTTTGGATTCATGTGCCTGCCTTGAAACATATCCATCTGTGAGATGTTTTGCCTCAATAAAAAGTAAATCCATTCCTGCAGCACTATACAGATTACATTTTAACAATGTAAGAACACCGAGACCCCTTTTTCATAGCAAACATTTTGACCGATCACAGAAGGACAAGCACAGGTGAAACTCATTTTCTAAATGATGTTTCAGTTCCGTTAAGTGTTCCAGTGAGCAATGGCAGTGAGCCAGCATGTGCAATACCAGGGTCCTGAAACAGGCTCGCCTACATGGGGCGCAGCATTCTCTAATATTATCAATTTCACCTGTGCTTTTACTGAAATGACATGCCGAAATATCTGCTGTGAAAAATGTTTTTTTGTTGTAGTTACTCTTGATAAACCCCAAAAAGCTTGCTGTGATATATGTCTTTCATTCAAAGACATAGTTCCCATGAACACTGTTGACAGCGTGTTCTGTGAAGTATGCAGCGTAACGGGGGCAGTGTTTCTAAAAAGATACGTTGCACATAAAGTATCTGTAAAACTAGTGGCAATCCCATCAGCCTCACCAAATATTAGCATTTTAACATTCTAAACTACGTTGGTGAACGTGATCAACATTCCTGTTAAACGTCAGCGTGTTAGCCTTCATTCTGAGCATGCTGAGATTAGCATTTAGCTAAATCGTGGCTGTAGATTATTATTTTGATCATTTTGATTATTTATCATTCGGGTGAAAGAAAGTGTTGCAGATAGTTTCTCTCTGATCCTGTATGTGCAGCTGTGTTTTTGTCCCTGGAGTAGCAGACGTACATTGTTAAAAGATGAAGCCTTTTGTGTTACCTTTATATAAAATGAAGTGCAGCTGAGGACACCGTGTGCAGGAAGTTTTTTTGATTGAAATGAGAACAAATGGACTTTTTTTTTGTAACGGAGATGTTTATTTAGACAACTGAATGCATGCCAGAAAGAACTGTGCTACAGCAGCGGTAACTTTTAGCTCTCTCACTTTACTAACTCTGAGGGAGAGACCCGAATCAGGGACACACCAAACGTTGGAGTATTGGTAGGGAACACTATATCTGCTCTAAATTATTGCATTGACACATTATATGGGTACCATTGTTGAATCGAAGTTTAAGGAGCTTGGATCTTAAACAGCTTTGGCCAGAGTATCATGACTAGTTAATATCACTGTTTTTGGCAAAAGGACAAAAGTAAATCACACCTTGCGTTAAGGGAACTTTACCTCTCACACAAAACACGTAAAGAGACCATAAAAAAAGATGCACTTACTGTAGGTAGCATTCACATGCAGTATAACGTGTCTTCTCCTTCAGACTAAATTTTACTTTTTTCTCCACTATTTCTTACAGAGATTCACAGCTAATGTTTTTCAGTTTTGGGGAATTATCTTACACATAATGGATACTGGATGAACAAAGACATGTTGAATGGATTTTGGGAGAAAGGAAAATGTTATGAAAGTCAAAAGAGACAAAATTGTGCTTATCGTTAGTGGGATCTCTATCAAAAATGTAGCAATGACACAAACCCCTGTACTCGTGCTCGTAAGTCAACCCTTTTATCCCCAAAAAGGGATTGATGACATTCTTTCACCCAGTTGGTCCATCAAAGTTTTCTCAGTTGCTGTTGCCATTGTTTCTCCAATATATTGATGAGCCAAAAACACCATAATATCAAAAATAAATGCAACCCTTTCACAAAACAATGAGCAATAAATAATAATCAAGTGGTGTTCTTGTACTGTATATGTACTGTATATACACAGAGAGTTAAGTTTGTTGTATATATGTACACAAAAACAACTGGCAGTCTGTTTCAGACTGGGTTTTTAGCACAGCCTACGACTGGAATTCGTGCCCAGATTCTATAAATCCCAGAAAAAGCAACACCATAATAACTTACATAGAATCCTCAAGAGCAGAAGGGATAATGCACAATGAGACTATGTTGCTTGTAATTTTAGCCCCCCAAAATAGAAGCACTGGTCTGGAAAAGGAAAGGAAATATAAAAGAAAAATGTAACATTTTTTTTAGGTAGGGTGTAAAAAAAAAAGAAAAAGAAAAGCGTCTAGAATTCCATAAAATAACTAGCTTATTAAAACATTGATTGACAACAACATGCACAATGTTTCCCCAGCCTCAGGTGGAGATGGTTCGATTGAAGCACTTTCTCTGCACCTCTGGCATGACTTTGCAGTTTTTTTGCATGTGATAATGCTTCTATTTGTTTTATGAGGGACACTGGTGCAACCCCTCCCTGTCCTCTTTTTTTTAGGGTGCTATCGTCTGTCTTCACTTGAAAAAGACTAGACGGAAGGTTCTTTTCTCCTCAAACAGTTCTTCAAAATAAGAGGTTTTTTTTATCCATTCCATATACACACTCTTGCAGTTCACATGCTCAGGTCAAAGAGGACAGCAGGTTGCAATGGACGCATTATTTCATCTCCAGAAATGTCTGTGTATCTCTTAATGCCTCCAAAACTGTCCTTTCAGCATACTAAGTCCATATGCCAACAAACACCTCACTAAACATTTTTGTCCCAGTCTTATTTTAGTAGCTTATGTACAGGAAGTTGAAGTGTCTGCCAGGCAGTATCCTCGGAATCCAGCCATATCCTCACACATTTACAGTTTGCATTCCGGTTTTTCAGTCCTCTGTTGATCTTCGTCCTCTTCACAAGTTATGTGCATTTGAGTTTGTGTCTTTGAATTAAAGTTTTAAAGTTGTTGCATGAGTGCAGCTCATGTATGTCTATCTAAAAGTGTGTGCTGCTGTTTTTTTTTACGGGTTTTTGTTCTGCTGTTGTTATGGCGAGGCCACTGAACCTTACATTGGACACACAATCTATAGAATGTGTTTGTGTGTTGCTGTGTGGATGCATGGGTTTGTGCTTGAACGTGTAGATCTGGTTGCATGTGTGCATCTCTGTGCTTTTTTTCTCAAACACTTCGTGGGGGTCTTTGAAGCTCATGGGTCCTCCTGTTGCGTCCCTTCTTATTTTCCTGCATCCGTCTCCACTTGGCTGCGTGCTGGCTGCTCGCCCTCGACCCCCCGGCAGCCTGAGAACCAGCCTGGCTGCCCTGCCCCTTCTGGCCGTTTTGCGTCTTCTGATTGTTCTTAGGTGCCTGGACACTCAACATACCCAGATTTGGTTGAGCTTTCTGGGTAGTCTGGCTTCGTGCTGACCCTTCCACTGTTGGCACTCCAGCCTGGGGCCCTGGCCTGCTCTGTGGTGGACTGGCTTGCTGCTTCTGGGCGTTGGGAGCTAAAGCTTTAGGCCGTAATGCAGGGTTGGAACCGCCAGTGCTGTCGGGTTTACCCTGACCGTTGCCGTTGGGCGTCTTCACCCTCTTCTGTTTGCGTTCTTTCTTCCAAACTCGATCGCAAAACTCTTCCACGCTGTTGAGGTCTGGGTGGTCCAAGAGAGACAGGAAATCGCGATACCACAGCCTGTGCTTGGGAGAGGCACCGACCCCGCCTCCTGCACCGGGAAGTCCGGGTAGGATGTCCCCCAGTTTCTGGGCGGGGATGACCTGGAGGTTGAGGCGCAGCAGGGGCTGGATGAAGCCGTGTTCGACAGCCTGGCAGTGGTAGATACCTGTGTCGGACTGGGTCAGACTGCGTATGAGCAGGCCCTGGTCTGTACGGAGCACCCTGTCATCTAGCTTGATCTATAAAAGGAAACCGAGAGAAAAGCAAAAATAAGATATTGGAAAAAGGGAAATAGACAAACAAACTTAAAAGGCAAACAGGTGTGTTCCCGTCTGGACCAGAGTTTCTAGAAACATTCAGATTTCTATTACCTTGTTAAAAAATTGTTAACGTCCACCTCACACGTCTTTAAGTTGCATATTGGACCCCAATCAGCTTCCAAACAAAGTCATGCTTGGACACAAAGTGTATCTTAAACTGAGATTTAAGGTGAGCACAGATACACTTTCCTCCTTCAGCAGATGCGTGAAAATAGGCGTATAGTGTCAAACTCAACACATACATTGTTCTGCACAGTTAACCTCAACAAGTGACGCAACAGAACAGTTTCAGTACAAGCTAAGGCAAAGGCACTGTGGGAAAAATGCACCCACATCATTAATCTGAAAGAGCCTATTGTGTTACAGCAGTGAGGTTCAGTGGTGTAAAAAGAAACATAAGATAAGATGTTTCTAAAAGATAAAAAGATTTGCTTCTGATAAGCCTTAAAACGCTTGGTTCTGTTACTCAAACTGGACTTCCTGGATTGTATTTCTTCGCATCATCAGTACCTAAAACCACAGGCCCTGAACGCGGGGTTAGACAAATACAGCCACAGTAGAAAGTCAGGCAAACGTTAATTAGTTGCATCATAGGGTCAAAAGTCAATCTAAACATCCACACCCCTAGGTTACCACCCTTTTCATGTCACTGAGGTTAAAGGCCACAGAGGTCAGAGTTCATTACATGATATCACAGAGAAGGAAAGGTGTGGCCTTTGGCAGAGAGATGTTTTGTTTGCGGGAGTTGAATTAGCATGAAATTGAGCTTGAGTCAACATTGGGATGTGTGGGTTTTACAATCACCCAGTTGCACATTTTCCGTTGCCTGCTTTTTTGAGAGGCAAATCAGCAACAACGTAAGAAACATACACACCTCGTGCTTGCGGTCGTCGTTGGGCTTCTGCAGCTGCCAGTATGTGAGTGCTCTCTGAGACTTTGGGCTGCACTCAAGGAACATACTGCTGTTCTCCACACCATACACACCCCGGTCCTCCACGCTGCCTCCTAAGCCGTCCGAATCGTCTGATCAAACCAAAACAGACACAGGGTCGGGAGAATGAGAAGTGTGTGGCGAGAAGGGGAGAGAGTGCGTGTGGGTGTTTGTGTGTAGTGGCCATTAAGGTACCATGATGCTGAAGATCTGAGCATTGGGAGAGAGGGTCTCCGTTTCGGATGTCCTGTCGTCTGGTTCGCCTGGGAAGAAACCACAATGAAAGTTAATGGCAGAAGTGGGTGTACTGGTAATGCAAGCAACATATGTTCTACAGAATAGACCAGAAATGCACTTCTCACATGTTCTGTTATCTGCACTGTTTGTGTTCAACCACTAGGGGGCAATGTTACACAATACAATTCCACATTCAGCTTCACCTACGTTTAAGGACTGGAGAGTGGCTATTTATTGAACCTTCGCTCCACTGTTAAAAAAAATTGAATCCTGGCAGAATTGTAGGACACATAAGTCTGCAGAGCAATGAAACAACAAGCTTCATTGCTTTCCAATGAACCGTTATTATGAAACACATACAGCATGGTTTCACCCTTGAAAAAGCAGCCCCACTCTCTGTCGTCTCGATATGAAAGTCCACTATGTCATTCAGATGTTCCTGCTGTGACAGCAAGGCGTTTTCATAGCCTGGCTTTACTGACTAACTGCGAATGTGTCTCCCCTTGTTCCTAGTTGTCATGGTCGCGTTTAAAATCTCTGATGAGCGCTGCAAAAATTGAATGAGGAAGAGGTGGGGTAAGCCAAAGGTGAGGCGAGGGTTGGAAAGAAGGAAATAAAGTAGAACCGGATGGAATGAAATGGTCAGCTCGTGTGTGAGAATTCTGCACACAAAATATGGCCACTAACATCCCTCGTCCTTTACTTCTGTGTGCCATATATATATTTGGTCTCTTTCTCACACGTCCCTCTTCTTTTTTTTTTCACTTCCTAGGCTCACATTCCTGTCTTTTTTGGCCGTCTGAGCACGTGCGGGGCCCGGTGTCTGGTTCTCATTCTGGGAGGGAAAATATTTGCAGTGCAGAGGAGAGGAGAGAGGAGCCGGTCCTGGCCTTAACCACGGGGTGTGCCACCTCCTTTGTAACCCTGCTGGGCTGGAGTATACCCACTGGCCTACTTCTGCTGGTGTGAGAAGTTCTGGATGAATGAGATGTAGGAGTGTAGTGCTACGTGTGTGTGTGTGTGTGTGTGTGTGGGCTGTGGTGGTCAGCCTAATCCTGCTGGATACAGCAGAGGGTAATTTGAGGGTGTGTATGTTCATACCTCCTGGCTGCAGGGTGAAGCGGTCAGACAGCTCCTGTTGGCTATAATTTAGTGTGTGTTTACTTGTGTAGATGTATGTTCTTTTTATGACTGTGTGTGTGTGTGTGTCACAACTCAGAACAACTGTTGCTGGCAGAAGTTAGAACCCAGGTTGCTGGATTGTATCTCTTGGAATGCATACTTGGCCTGCGCGTATTTAATGACTGTATTTTGTGCCCGTGTAATATTCTAACTCCTGATTACTTCCATGTTTAGATGTTTTGGTATGAACCGTGTAACCTTGCCCTTTTTTTTTCCTTTTGATTCACAGCACTTGCTTACAGAAACAACGTTGTATATCAGGATGCCCTTGAGCAAAGCATTCAAAGCCGATTGCAAAATCAGACTGCAGGTGCACTGGCAACTCCCAGGCGTGTGAAGGCATAAACACAAAGGCAGGCTGTTGCTGAAAAGAAGCATGCAGGTTCAGCAAGCCCTCTGAGGATAAATAAAGGTCAAAGATTTGTTTGGTGCGTGCATAATCCTACCTCTTGGCGGTAGGAAAGTATCTCGAGCACTCGCTGCCGTCCCAGGCGCAATAAGGGTCTCTGGCCAGGCAGCACTCAGCGCAAGCTTTCCCATACACCTCACAACGATGTAACGACATCTGCGATACACCCAGGCCAGAGCCAAGGTACAGCTGTTGCTGTGGGAGCAAAAGAAAGAAGATGTAAAACTTGAGTATTCCTGTGGGGCTCAGTTGGACAGGCTCTCGTAAAGATTAGGTGGTTGTGGGTTTGGCTCTCAGTGGGCACATTACATATCGTTGTGTTTGGATATCAGTGTTTGTTTAATGGCCCAGGCGTTCTCACTCTTTAGTTTCACTTCTAGCCCTGTCAACAACTTGGATAAATTATTATGTGCGAAGACAGCTCCTTACCTGCTTAGTGGACAGCTCCATAGCAGTAATGGCAGTGGGTTCCTGCACAAAACAAATACAGCACAGCTGCTTTACCACCACATCTATGGACGTAGTGTTTATTTCTATAGGCAGCAGCTTCATGAATTGTTGTTACGCTCAATTTTCAATGTCTTACCCTAAAGACGGTCATCTCTTCGAGCACCACCTCTTCCAGGTCATGCCAGCTCTCTCTGGGTATTGTCACCACCTTCAGTACTGTGCCCATGTCTGAAAGAATATTGACATTCACATACAGTATATGTATTATTTTTTTTGTGAAAATACGTAAAAATGCATAACAATCAACGTTACTGTGACGGATTTCAATAATTTGTATTGACAAATTCCTGTTCGAGCACAAAGCAACGACAAACTGTGAAGTTTGTGTACCTGTCCCAATGAACATGACGTCATACTGTCCGTCCTCTGCCTCCACTCTGTCCACCACCAGCTGGGAGAACTGGTAGTCCACGTCTGTTCGCACCATGATGGGACGCCCGCCCATCGGGTGCACTGGGTTGTACATGGCTGGGTGACCCCTTGCGAAGGTGATGACATCATCAGGGAGGTCCTTTGTGGAGTCGAATCCTCCAAATGTCTTGCTGGGGCACTGAGAATCAGACCAAAGTGGCCGGCAGGTAAGTTTAAGTAAAAAAAAATGAGAAGCAGTGTTGTGCTAATTTCACTGTATTGCTTGTAAAATCACTACATTTGTGGATAAAGACTCACAGTGCCGGGGCGGGGGTAGGGCACCCTCCCCTGGAAAGGCACCCACTGGTAGTTGGGTCCATCTCTGTGGGCGTAGGGACCTAGGAAAACCCTCCTGATGTCTGCCATGTTGTACATGCACACTGCCGAGCCTTTAAAAATGTTACTGTGGAGAAAGAGACAAGGAAACTTAGAAGGGGTGAAAGACGAAAAGAAAAAAGAGTTAAAAGATGAAGGGAGGGCAGTGGAATAAAGAAAGACGACACACAAAAGGGATTCATAAACAATCGGTCACAAGACAGGGATTAAGAGCTTGTGAAATACTGAAGAAAGACAACAAAATGACCCTTCATCGCACAAGACGGAGAGGAGCACGGTTTGTCATTACCTAAGTATAGGAATAACAGATTGGAACTTCTCTCTGATTGCTTCCAGCCTCTTGAGAACAGACAGGAATTTGGGCACACCACCAACAAAACAGAGCATTTTTGAAATCCCCTTCAATATTTTGTGAGCGCTCGCTCGAGCCAGATGGGTGGATTTTGCTTTCACTCGCCAGGCAAGGCCCAAAGCAGGCAAGGTCAATCAATCATGCAAAAAAAAAAAATGAGGAAATTTTGTGGATTTTTACTTCAATTCATACTCTGCCCAGGTCATCCAGAAGACAAGCAATTTGAGCTGTGACTCATTAAAGTGGAACATTTGGGAGTTTCACAGGAATATTCCAAGATATATATATATATATATATATATATATATATATATATATATATATATATATATATTCCAAAAGAGTCATTGACATATTCCTGTGGAGATTGTGAGAAAGTATGCTGGCTGTTTAAAATCCTGCACACCATGAAGTTCATTAACCTCTGACCACATATAAGGGGGATTTTATAGACGTGCAATTATTTGTTTGTAGGTCAAGATGTTCAGAAAATTATTCATCAGCTTTTTGTCACTTTTCACAGATGGTAGATTTTAATTTGGACAGCCAGTCTCTTGCATAGGCAGGAACCAAATGCTTCAATAAGAGTCGGCACATCCTTTGTCTTGCTGACTGCAATGGGAAGTTGTATCAGACTAATTAGGGATGTGGCTGGCATAAACACAGCCGACAGTACTCACCAAAGCATGGAAGATGAATGGATTAGCATTTGAAAATGTTAATTACAGAGAAATTCAATTAACTCCAGGAGCAAAAAAAAAAAAAAAAAGAAAAGAAAAGACACTCCAATATCTATGCTTAAGAAGAAGGACGGAACATGTGTTGGAGCAGATACACACAACTTGAGAGAAAGGCACACATTTTCAGTCGACCCCACAAAAATGCACACACACAGACAAACACAGCACAATCAAACATTGATCTGTCAGTGGCAGCTTCTTTGAGCCTCATTAAGCAGTGATATTAAAAGCCCGGTCCCTCTGAATCTCTTCTCTATTCATCTCTGAAAAGCGGCCACTTAGAAAACCAATTAAACCACTCTAATTCCTCAATGCCCCATAATTGAATTTTAAAGTGTGCATGTGTGTGTGTGTGTGTGAGCATGCATGTGGGTACGTAGGTGTACACCCACCACCACGCACCGACCTCTAGCTTTTCATACATCTCCAGAAATTAAAGAAACGCCATACGGGCCTGGTGATGCAAGGCGCCTGTCGGTATGCGCTAGCTTGTGCCGGCGTGCTATTCAGCCCGTCTTATCATTAGCGGTGATTGATGGTGAAGTGTTTGTCCTCCTTTGAAAGCGGTTCAGAGACACCACTGGACACAAAATACCCCCTCCTCCTCCCCAAATGCAAATTCATCATCATCAAGATAAGTGCCACCATCTGTGCCATTTCAACTCACTTATCTGGCCTGGCCCATGCCTTCACCTCTCCGCATGCTTCAATAGAGCCCCACCCAGCCTTCTGAAAACCCTCATTCAAGTCTGGGGCGGCGGCCAGGAGAGAAACGTGCGTTCCTGCTGAGTGAATATAGTGTTTCTCTCGCTCCCTCCTGCGCCATAATCTGATTTCCCTACAAGCCTCTGCCAAGGTTTCAGTGAAAAAAAAGGGGGACAGGTAGCGAGAAACCGGCTAAAAGCAATCTCCGTCCTGAGATGTGGGGAGGGGAAAGCAACCATAAGACACCTGTAAGTGGATTACGGGACAGGGAGTGCTGTCTGGGTATTTGACGGGGGCACGCTTGGTCACTCGCATCCTGCCATGTCATTTAGAATGGTTAGGGAATTACAGATAAAGGCATGGAATAAAGGCATGGAATAAAGGCATGGAATAAAGGTTGTGAAACGGCGGAAAGGAAATATGAAGCGTGTGCGTTTTTCAAATACAGAGGAAAATAACTTGTCTAGGACGGTTGCAACGTTGAATTTATATCAGTTCCTTCTGATCTCCTAGCAACAGATCAACAAAACAAATCTGATACCACCAGCGCCTGTCAAGTTCTGTTGCCTTTGCACGCACATTTTGGAGGTTATAAGAAAAGATGTGGATGGGTCTGTACCTGGATGTGGTGAATACAGCGTATATAACTGGATTCTTTGGGTCCTTGGAGCTCATGAGGAACACATCCTCTGGAAAAACAAAGCAAGAATGGGTGTGACGGTGAGGTTTTTGTCATCAGCATTTGAAAGAGAGGCTTTTTCATCGAATACACACTTACGCAGCTCATCAAAGTGTGTATCGATGCCATTGACCCCGGGCACTGAACACATTAGCCGGGCCTTGAGGAAAGTGGTCCACTTGTTCACCAGACTCCTGTGACCTCCCATGTCATTCTGTATCACAAACCCCAACAAAACTCACATTTCTGCAAACTGACATAAACATGCTGTTATTTCTGTTGGACTATGCAGATTTTAAACAAATGATTATGAATTTTTTTTCATGTCTTTTGAGTAAACTGTGATAAGTTTTTTTGTATGTGTGTGTTGTTACCTTACACAGTTGTCCTATCCTGGCTATGGTGGCCTTGCCAGTGTTCTCTCCGTCCATGGCGTTCTCCTTGAAAAACAGGAAGATCTTATCGTCTTCAGGGTTGTCACTTTCTGGGATCAAGTTAACACCTATGAACCTGGGGTCTGGAGGGAAAAAAAGGAGAGAAATTAAGCACAGAAACGACATATTATGCAGTAAAAATATGCAAAGATTTGTTCATACATATTTAAATCCCACACAAACCTACAGAAATGTAATTTTACGATCCAACCTCCGCCCCATTGACAATCCTTTCACCCCTATTTTACACCTCCAAAAACCTAATCCCCCATGATATTCTCCAGTCACGGCTCAGTAATAACAGCCATCCACTTTACACACTGGTGTTACAGTATCTGACTTTAACCCAAGTGAGCGCTCCAAGTCTAAATCCCACATAACTCCTTCCTCTAGGCCACATCCCCACAAACACACATGGCTCCGATTGTCCCCGGTAAAACTTGAATAAATTTATCTCGACTTTAAGCGCGAGAGGAAATCAAAGCTAAACGGGCGAGCCGAGGCCCTCCGGGCTGAGATATCTCTGGGTTGAAGGGGCAGAGGGACTGAGGAAAAGAGGCTGCAGTCACTGCGGCGGCGTCACGCGTAAAACGAGCCTGTGTCTAGAAGCTCGGGGGTTAGCCGGAGAGAAACAAGCCGTGCCATGTTACGCCTCCATGGCCGTTTAGGATATAGAGTAGCTGTGAAAAAGACTAGTGTGGCCAAAGTGGCAAGCAGATTTATAAGCGCTGTGCGGGTGCGAGACCTCTGGTATGAATCATGTACCCCACACACTCCTCATAGCTCTATTGTGAATATGTGCCATTAAATCTACACATTCATAAATTCAACCTCGCATGCCCTCGCATACGAAAACAGGCATCTGCCGGTGTCGCCAACCATTGAGGTCATACAATTCATTACATTTTATTCCCAAACAAAAGGCCACTGTATTCAGTCGGGGTCTGATTGTACCTAACTGTTGAGTGAGAGGGCATTAAAAGGGTGAAGGGATGTGTAAATGCATTGCATGAATAAAGACCAGGAAAGCCAAAGCTATACCATTTAACCCTAAATCCTTTTTTAGAATCAACTGCTATTAAGAATTCATTCCCAAGTTTCTTTCTTGTTGCCTTTGAGCACCATGTAACCTTGTTGATAAAGGCTCAATAGAATATCCCCATCCCAGTAATCCGTGCAATTACAATCCCCCCTTTGTGGAGAAGGAGTTGGATCTTGCCGGGCCGAATGGCTACAATCCCCGGCGTATTTGTTTGAACAAGGTGAAAGATCGATGGGGATTAACGCTGTAACAATGGCGTCTCCCTTTTAAATCACTCTTTATTAATATGTCACAGCAATCAGCACTGCAGAGAACAGTGTTTGTGATTTCTGAGGGTGCTGGGGGAGGGTGGGGGGGGAGATGAGAGGAATTCGACTCCACTACAGGAAAACAGCTGAGAGTGGATTAGTTCTGTGGGAAAGATGGGGGGGGGGGGGGGGGAAGGGATGGCACAGCTTGAGGGAAAGGTTCAAACTGACCTTTTGAGGCTCCCTAAGTCCTCCGCGGTGCCGAAAGATAGCCAGACAGACTGAACAGTCAACCCTCACTGCCGTGCTAATCTTACCAGCGCAGGCAAATCCAGTGACTTTGTGAATGGGCTCTGATATCTGATGTCTGCACATGAATGGAAATGATTGGAGACTTGAGGCTTGTGAGAGAATGTAATGCTTCGGAGTCCATTGAAAAGCTGAATAGTAGAGGTTATTGTGGGCCACAAGTGCCCAATTTTACTTTAATAGTAACGTTGGCTGGAGTTTGTGAGGTTTGAAAATGTATGTTATCTAGTTTTTGCAGTCGGAACACTATTAACTTCAAATGTAAGCTTCAAGATGGAAATTGCCTCTTAAAAAACAGGAAAGGCAACTACAGTGACAAAACCGAGTATATTAAAAAACACATTTTTTCAAGAAAAACTAGATTGTGTTTTTAGGAAAATGTATATCTTCAGGAGTTAACTTAATTTATTTCAGCCATTAATACTTTCTTCACATGCTAAAAAAAACCCTTTTTTATTGCTTTTTTTGTTTGTTTTTACCGTTCAGCCATCTTGAATCGTGCTGTTCTGTTCTGATTGGATGATGATCTCCCAGGGTACGGAAAATGGCAAAGTCCCTTCCCATGAAATCAGCAGATGTGCCAGAGTACAGCTCTCCATCTGTTAGTGAGGAAAGTGTAGTTAGGAACGAATGACCAGTTCCGAAGTGAATGTGTACTTCCTGGAACTAATCAAGGCACAGATCAAACTCACCGATCAGCAGCGAGGCCGAGAGCATTTTGGGGTCGTAGGGGCTTTTCCCGCGGCCATTCTCGAAATGCGAGGCCAGTCGAAAGATGTTTTCCTGTGGTGGAAAGGGTCAAAGTTCAAACTGAGGCCAAGTGAAAGCCACATTAAGACTGGCTAAAGGTACATTTATAGCCTGTGTTTCAAATTACACCAAATTCTCATTATAGCGAGCAGCTTTTGGGATGGGAAGCACCACAGCCTTTAGACAGATTTGATTATAGATCAACAATAATTTCTAGAATGAAAAGGAAGAATGGGGAATAAAGGAGGACCATGCAGCAAAAGCACAGCTCACCCTCAGAATGCAATATAATTTAATATAAAAAAAGAAAATACACAAAAGAGAGACCCAACTTACTCTGTTTTCTTTAAATCAATGACTGACAACACTACTTTAAACTCAAGTGAACCCATGCAGGGTCTTCTATACTCAAAACCTGCATGGTGCAAACAGTCATTCCTTCCCCATTGTCGGACTGCAGAAGCCATGCTGGTACATTGATTAACCTGTAGACCTTTATCAGGATGACTGATTAAACTTTTATGCAGGGAAGAGGTTGTTTTAATTTCTGACGGCTGAAGTCGAACCATGTACTGACCACTTTGTTTTTTTTTGCAATTCTTCTTCACACAAAGGAAAACATTGACGAGAAGATAATCAATGAGGGGAATGGTTACTGCTGTGCTTGACAGAAATCCGTGCAGGTCTTTGTGTGTGAGAGCATATACTTAGTGCAGCCAGTGCAGTTGCTGTGCACATATTATTTCAAGGGGAAGCAATGACTTACTCTGTCATTAGTTTACTATAGCGCTGGTGTCACACGCTCAATTGAGATTTAAATTACCTTTTGCATATATATAACTGATTAAACATGTTGTAAAAAAAAAAAACTACAGCATTCGCTGAATCAACATTAATGCAGCCGATTTATTACCTCTGCCCTCTTGCCCATTTCCAGAAAAGAACAGATGGGGTGGAAGGCTCCTGTGCCACAGATGTACAGGTGGGTCTGGTTGAAGGGTTGGAGGACCCGGATAAAGTTAGAACACTCTTTCTGGAAAATAAATGAGAAATAGAACATCAAATACCCCAACCAATGTATAATTTCATACATCTGGCAAAGAGATTTTAATACATTTCGTGTATGCATTACCTGTCTCTGTCTATACAGTAATACTACCGGTATAGTATATTATACAGCCTTGGAAAGCACTTTTTTATGAAATAGATTGCATGTTAGCATTGATTTCCAAAAGCCTCCTCCATGTCATAAAGTTTGAATTAAGTTTTATCCTTTATGAAAATAACGTTGACAATTTTAAAAAGAGAAAAGTGCTGCGGTGATTCAATTGAAAATAGAGAGTAATAGGAAACAGAGACTGACGGAGAATAAAGAAAAGCTCTGTTGGAATTCCCTTTAAAGAGGGGACTTTCCAGTTGGATTGGAAGAGACTTAGTCTCCTTTAAGGAAATCCCACCTGTAAGTCAAATCAGGCACTCAGATCTTTAATGATCCATATGTTTTGAATTTGCTGAGGGTGTTTAGGCTTGCTCCCCAGCACATGCTGAGTCCCAGTGGTGTGAGACTGTTTATTAGAGTGCTAATCAACAGGATTGGTTAATGTAGGAGGGCTATTAGCAGCCTGGAGGAGTTGATTTGGGCACATGTGGTTAAGAGATTAGGCTGGAGTTTGCCTTATTATAAATACATGCTGAATATCCACCGAACAAATAAGTTGACATTTGCTTGGGGATTTGAAAACGCAGCACTCGCATCACATCCGATGCAGACAGCCAAATTACCACTCTCTCTCCCTCCCGTTAACACTTGTATCTCTCCAGGCTTCTAGACCTCACTGACATTTCAATTGGATGATTTGATGGTGTCACTCATATGAGACATAAACTGATTTGAGGCTTCCCTGTGTTCAGGTCGGAGTGATGACATTTTCCAGTGAACCAAATTTACTCTGGGATCACACACTGCTAAGACTTTCCAAAAAAACGTAATTTCCTGCTATTACTCAGAAAGGAAGAAACTTGTGTTTTGGCTCTATCTCTTTTGCCTCCTCAGTAATGTACTTAAAGAGTTTGATATTCTGAAAATGTATGATTCTTCACTGCTTGAGCTAGCAGCCTGTTAGCTTACTGTGGCATAAAGAATTAAATGAGAATAAAACAGCATATACACCCCAGTAAAACCACTAATTGTGATTTTTGTAAGATTAAACAAACCAGATATAAGAGATATAGACAGAGTGTGTTGACTTTGGACAGAGGCAGGGCAGCTGTTTTCCCATTTCCAGACTTTATGCATGCTACGCTAAGCTAACTGGCTGCCAGCTACAGCGTCAAATTGAACGTACAGTGGTTCTTGTTCCATTCTCAAATAAGCATTTTTCACTCAATGTCCCGAAACTATTTATTTTATGTGAAAACTTATATGAATTGTATGTCAAAATATTAACTTGTTTAATACAAAACTGTAGCATGCACTGAGCTGGGGTTCATTCAAGCATGCAACACCTTTAAACTGTGCATGTTATCATTAACCGAACAACATTCAAACATTTCAGCCACAGGACTACCGCTTAGTTCACAGACTAAACTTCCAGGATTTCTTGTGGCTGACCCCAACCCTACAAGTCTATGTAACTCAACGACTTTACCCTCTGTCTTTTCTACTGTTTGAACAGCGGGAGCTCACGTCCCCCCCCCCCCCACAC